ATATATATATATATATAAACAAACTCACTGCTGTCTAGTCAGAACAGACTTATAGTGACCCCTCCTTAGGAGGTATCACTACAGAAGTAGTTTGCCCAACCTTCTTTCTGAGGATTGGCTGGTGGGTTTGAAAAGCCAGACTTCTGGTTAGCAGTCAAATGTCTTTGGCACTATGCCACAGAATAAAGAGGTATTATTACCTCTAATTTGAAAAAAAAAAAAAGAGGTATTACAAATTTATTGAATTTATCCAAGTTCAAACAGCTAATATTTTTCACACCTGATTTAAAAGCCTGATCTTACCATACTCCATTACACCAATTGTCTGACATAGAATAAGATTTGGGTGACACAGGTGGTGACAAAGACACATGGGAGAAATAGACCTGGGTTCAAATACTAATCTTCTATACATGATCTAAGTGGCAAATCAATTAATCTTCCTGATAGTGAACTTTGGAGAATTATTGTAAAGATTAAATATTGTATACCTAAAGTAATTAGACATTTACTTGGACATTTCCTGAACTTAGTGTTTATTCTCTTCCGTTTCTCTGTAGTTTTTACACCTATGTGTTTATCCCTATCCATACAAAATTGTGCCTGTTTTTTAATTTTATTAAAAAATGTAATCATAGTGTATAACTTGCTTCTTTACTCAAAATTATTTTTCAGATATCTCCATTTCAGTGAGTATAAGTAACTTCTAACTTAGTAATTTTTACTGTTGTGTAATTTTCTACATTTTTCTCTTTATGGATATTTGAGTCATTTCCAGAATTTAGTTGTTATCCATAACGCTAGCATATGTAGCTATGGTAGTATAGCAGTTAAAGCATTTGACTAATAACTGAAAGGTTAATGGTTCAAACCCACCAGTTGCTCCATGGAAGAAAGATGAGACAGTCAGATCCATAAAGATTTAAAGCCTTGGAACCCCAATGGGGGTCATCATGAGTCATAATCAACAAGACGGCAGTGAGTTTTTTTTCTATAATGCTACCATAAATATTCTTGAACATGTTTCCAGAATGGAGGCATGATTTTCTTAGGGTGCATGTTTAATAATAAAATTTGTATGTCTGGACAATGTATAATTCAAATCTATTGGGTCTTGATGAACTATTTTCCTAAGCTGAAATTCATATTTCAGTCCTAATGACAATGGATATATTTTTCATTTCTCTACATCTTTAACAACACTCGATAATGTTTGACTTTTTACACTTTCCCAATTTAATAGATATGAAATAAATTTTTGTTGTCACTTAAACTTTTATTTTTCTAATCTGTAATGAGATTGATCTCTTTTTTTATGCTTATGGACAGTTGTGTTTCCTTTTTGGGAAAATTCCTACTCATTTCTATTGCCAATTTTTGAATTCTATTTTTTTTTTAATCTTCGTTATTGATCCAGAGGGTGCTCTCAATTAATTTTGTATAATAATTAAAAAAAAAAAAAATCCCTCACTGCTGTCAAGTCAGGTTCAACTCATAGTGACCCCTCCTTGGTTTCCCAGGTGGTATCACTACAGAAGTAGATTGC